CACTCTTGTCGTCACTTTCTTTCTACTTCCCGAAGAGTTTTCCTGCTTCACCCCCTAGTTTCTGGCGTTTCCATTATCACAGCCCAAGGCACAACTCAGAATTCTCAGACCACCTCGGCTAGCAGGCCGGGGCCTCACCTGTCCAATACCTCCTACCACAGATGGCCCGCTTGGAGTCGGCCCTGTCTCCACAGTAAATACATCAGATTACTTCTGAGACCTTACTGCCTTACCTACTCTGGGGGTAAGGGTGCCTGGGATCGAACTCAGGACCTTTCGATGGCAAGGCAGGCGTGGTGCCACCGAGCTGAATCCCTGGCCCTCCCGGCCCCACCTTCTCGGGCCGTGTAGCAGGTCAGGACAGCAGGCTGCCTCCTCGCTGTATCACGCAGCCCGCACAGCTGCAGTTGCAAACGCGCCGCTACGACGGAATACTGCATCTCCCTTGCTTTCCCGCACACCTAGCATTTCAATGAGGTTTTGATACCTGACTTACTTCCCAACAAACACGTACAAAAATTAAGGAGTACTGTTCGAAACTGCGAGGAAGAAGTGGAGAAAGGACAACGGAAAGGAAGGAGGCCTCAGTGCACACGCTGCATAGCCCTGTACTCTCCTACACGGAGGACAGCCACTCTCCCTGCCAGCAGCACCAACAGAAACGGCCCTATGCCTGCAGCCTCGCTGAGCACGGCCAGCTAACGCGTGAAGCACGTGTGGCTCTTACCGAAGGCCCTAAACCCCAAGCCTCTCTTCCCCAAAGCCACCTCTCCTGTGCCTTCCAGGCCACGACGTCACAAGTGTCCCCAGTCTCACCAGCTCAATCTGAAGTCCGTGCCCTGCAGAACAGCGTGGCCCACAGACCAGCAACAGCCTGCAAGTTGTAATCAATCCACAAAGGCAACTATGTGACAGGTTTTTATAGCCGTCTGACGTCATTTTTGTAGGAATTCATCTAATTATATTTCACAAAAGTAGAGGTCTCACAAAGTGGCAGTCAGTGGTAGAGTCCACAGTCAGTCTAGTACGGGTGAGGCCCGCGCTGCCTGCCCATCGCGGAGGGGACGAACTCACACATGGAAGCAACCAGGCCATTTACACTGCTAGGAGAAATACTGCCCTAGAATACGGCGATCAGCACCTCCCTAAGAGTGCACAGAAAGCTGCGCTTTTATGACCCGCTGGGTAAACTTGGAGAGCTGTCACACACAGGAGACCACGCTGCTCCTAGCCACCCCAGGGGCAGAAGACACCAGCACCTCTGCGAGTTTGACACGGGGAGAAGTTTCCAGGCCACCCCTAAACCAAATCCACTATGGTAATCCAATCTCTTTACCGCGTCCTAAGAGAAAAGCTGCTTCTACCAGCTTGCTTTGTTTCAAGGTCTTACCGGCCTTTTTTCTTCTCTTCCGGGAATGCTCAGGCTTCAGAAACCAGACTCAAAGCTCAGTCCTCTAATCACAACTTGGATGGACACAGTACCTTAGTCCTGCCCGCACGACTCTCTCCTCGCACAGAGCCAGAGCAGCACTATCACACGGCTGCTTTACAATGATCCACAGCTCACTCGTACTGGTTGTTCTTCTGCCTCAGGAAAGCAGAGTAAAGGCTCCGACCCAGAGTTCATTCAAGGCTTCACTATACTCAGGATGGCGATATTCGTCGAGAATCCAGTTACACGCTAGGCTATTTCTGGCACTGTCTTTTATGTGGGACACACTATCTGTTTTTTTTTGCACTAAATATATCAATCCTTTATTTTGGTATACAATATTTTTTTCCTTAGATCCTTTTATTGGTACACTTTAGGTATACAATACATTTACACTTACCACTGGGTGTTTGTGCCTGAACATGCTGTAACTTGGTTATTTTCTTCCCCATTCCCTGTGCGCCCTTCACCCCTTTCACTTCCCTGTTTACATAGACTTTGTTTCCATTTTTTTTCCTCAAAATTTTTCCTTTCCCTTCTTTCCTTCCCCCACCCCTCCCTCTTCCCCTACTCCTTAAACCTTTTCTTCCTATTTCCCATTATCAACTATTCGTTTTAATCCTTATTTACACTTTCAGTTTCTCACCAGAGAAACTATTCAGTATTTACACACGTGTGTCCTATTTATTTCACTTAAGAGTATGGCCTCAATAGGCATCCATTTAGCTATAAATGTCTCTAGTTTCTCATTCTTTATGGCTGAGTAGTACTCCATTTTATAAAAAAAAAAGCACATCTTCTTTATCCAGTTTCCAGTTGATGGGCACTTGGGCTGTTTCCAAGCTTTAGCTATTACACACTCTGGCACTATAAACATGGGTGCACATATATCACTGTGGGATGATTCTTTTAATTCTTTGGGGAAGATCCCCAGCAGGGGAATAGCTGGGTCAAATGGGACCTCTAGTCCTAGTTCTTTGAGGTATCTCCATACTGATTTCCACAGTGCTCACACCAGTCTACACTCCCACCAGCAGTGGAGCAGGGTTGCTCTTTCCCCACAGCCCTGCCACCATTTGTTATTGGTTGATTTCATGACAGCGGCCATTCTTTCTGGGGTGAGGTGGAATCTCACTGCTGTTTTCACCTGCATCTCTCGAATGACCAGTGATGTTGAACATTTTTTCATGTTTATTTGCTGCTTTTACTTCCTTGACTGAGAAATGTCTGTTCATTTCAGATGCCCATTTTTGAATTGGGTCTTTGAATTTGGGGGGTCTGATTATTTTCAATTCTTTATATATTCTAGATAGCAAACCTTTGTCTAAGGTACAGCTGCTAAAAATTTTTTCCCACATTGTAGGTTATCTCTTAGCTCTGTTGGTGGTTTCTCTTGCAATGCAGAAGCTTTTCAATGAGATCCCAGTTGATTCTTTGTGCTAGTTCCCATGCTACTGAGGTTTTTGTTCATAAAGTCTTTTCCTATGCCAATGTCCTTAAGAGTTCTACCTATCTTCCAGCAAGTTTAGGGTTTCTGTTCTAATATTTAGATCTTTAATCCACTTCGATCTTAGTTTAGTGCACGGTGATAGATATGGGTCTAGTTCTAATCTTTGGCAGGTTGAAATCCAGTTTTTCCAACACCATGTATTAAAGAGGCTATCTTTCCTCCAGTGAGGGTGTTTGGCTCCTTTGTCAAAGGTGAGGTGGCTGAGTATGTCTGGAGTTGTTTCTGGATCTTCTAATCTATTCCACTGATCCTCAGGTGTGTTTCTGTGCCAGTACCATGCTGTTTTTATCACAGTAGCTTTGTAGTATAGTTTCAAGTTGGGGATAGTGATACCCCCTGCCCTGTCTCTGTTGCCTAGAACTGCTTTTGTTATTCTAGGTCTCTTCTGGTTCCAAATGAATTTTGGGACTGTTTCCCCTAGTTCTGTGAAATGTATTGTTGGGATTTCAATCAGCATTGCTTTGAATCTATATAGCAGTTTTGGAAGTATGGCCATTTTCACTATATTGGTTATTCCTGCCCAAGAGGAAGCGATGTCTTTCCATTTTTTTATATGCTCGTCTATCTCTTTTTTGAGTGCTGTCATTTTCAGTGTAGAGGTCTTTTGCTTCCTTTGTGAGGCTGATTCCTAAATAGTTCATACTTTTGGATGTTATTGTGAAGGGAATTGTGTCCCTAATTTCTCTCTCCATGAGTCTGTTATTTGTGTATAAGAAGGCTATTGTTTTTTGAGTGTTCACCTTGTATCCAGCTACTCTACTGAATCTGTCAATTAAGTCTAGAAGTCTTCTGGCAGAGTTTTTTGGGTCTTCTATGTAGAGTATCATATCGTCAGCAAATAATGACAGTTTAACTTCTTTCTTTCCTATCTTTACTCCTTTTATTTCTACCTCTTATCTAATTGCTGTGGCTAATGTTTCCAGAGCTATACTGGGGACACACTATCTTTTAAAACATCATGCTCTTGGAACTAACTGCCCCATGAGAACTTCCCATGTTGTGTGAACTGTGTCAGTGGCACCCACCGTTCATTATTAGACCCACTGAGGTCTTATTTTGTGCATTTCTGCACATGCACAGAATGTTTTAAAAACAGAAATAAGAGTTTACAACTTGGCTACCCCCCACCCCATCAGCAATGACTAAGCAACAAGTATCTTTCTTGGGCCGTATCAACACAGTTCTAACCAGGTGACTTTTTCCAGGTGATTAAAAGTAAGACACCACCCACCCCGTGTCTTTAGTCCTGGGCACCAAACATCACTCCCACCACCCCCAGGTCAAGTTCCTTCCATCTGGGATGTATGCTGTGTTCTTACTTTGAAGTACTCTTTCTCTACCTCACTTTCATTTTTTTTCCCCTTATAATACCTATCTTCTTGTTATGAATTACTTATTATCCATGGTTCTGCAATTTTAGCTTTCTTCTTCCTCAGACTGAGATTGCATTCAAACTTACAAACACCCTATGATATCATAATATATTTTTAAAATGTTAATATGTACTTCAAAAAAACCTAGAAATACTAAAAATAGAGTTGGAAGGAAAATAGAAGTGTTTTTTCTATTTTCAAATAAATTCTTACTTAGGCCTCTTCATTACAATTTTTAAATTGCTCTATACTACCTTTTATATCTATCATACAAGTGTGTAAGTCTATTTTTGGTTAGTTTATAAACTAGGAATAGGAAACAATTTATTACCGTGTTATAACTGCTCAAGTGATCAAAGCAACTACTGCTAAGTAAAATGCTGCATATCAATCATTTTTGGTTAAGTTTTTAGACAGCAAAATTCAAATGAGGTTAGGATTTTTAAAAAAAGAGGACAGGTGATAATATGACTTTCTCAAAAAAACCTGTTTTAAACTACTGCAAATTTGGAATTCTCTCCAGATCAGGGTTAAAAATCTACTCAACTGTTCCACCTCTTGCCTGAAACTCAAAGTTCTTAAATTCCAAAAAAGAGTCAAATTATAAAACATGAAGTCACTTCATAAAATCTGGAAGAAGAAAAATGAAGCAAAAGCCAAATCCTTCTCATACATGTTTACTCACCAGTTTGGCTTGTGCTTCTGCAATTTTTCGGTTATTTTCTTCCAGTATTCGCTCTAGCTCCTCACGTTTTGCACGTTCTTCCTCCTAAAGGGGAGGACATGTTAGGATGTTAGAAAAATACATTGTTTATTGTTACTCATAAATATCTACTAATCTTCCTCTGAACTTTTTTTGATCTGACTTAAATGGTAGCTGTACAGCTACCTCCTGTCTGACAAATGATAAACTGTGCAGCCACTAAAATTGGTTTCTAGCACTAAATTTAAATTATCCCTCCCAGTCCAAACAGCAACCGACTAAACCCTCCCTAATGATAGTTTTCTGGTAATTATTACTAATACTTTAATATCACACAAATCAACAAGGACAACTACAAAACTGGATAGTATTTACCAAATTAAAAAAATAATATATAAAATATAAATAAAGTGAATATTTGTCTCACCAATTATGTATACCTACGTATTCTTTACCTATACTCCTTTAATCAGCATTAAAAGTTGAATATTTACTGTCTTGTCCAGTGTCCTGCAGAGTGTGCTCCTCGGCTGCCATACGCGCCAGCTTCCTCTTTAAAATGATTTGTACTGTTAGCTTGGCAATACCTGCATCAGCAGCTCAACCATTTATAAAGCAACAACATACAAGGAAGGCTGAGCTGAGGAATGCAGATGTTTATGGTAAGAAGGAACAAAAAATGTAATTCATCATTCCTAAGGCAAACAATTAATAAGAAAAATACATTTACTGTTAGTGAAAAATACAAATGGTAACCCATCCTTCATGGAACTACGGGCTTCTTCCATGGGGAAAATGGGCTCAACACTCGGATGGTGACAACTGCTAAAGGCAGCTTAGACTGTCATCTACGGTCTGAACTGGAATTCAGGAATCCAGGGGACGCATGGTCAGGAAATAAAACTCTTCTGCACTTTAGCTTTTCTTGGAAAATTTAATGAAACTGTATAATGCAAACTATATGAAGACTGCTTGATGGTTTGAGCAGTGTTCAGATCACAGCATACATATTCGAATGATTTTAATATTTGGAAAGTCTGTCAAGAGGGTTGTGTCCGTGTAAAAAAAAAAAAAAAACTGTTAATATGAAACAAAAAGCAAATGAAGAGAAAAAAATCTTGCTATGATTAATAACTCGCTACAAGATAGCACAATTACTCCAAAACTTAGTATTAAAAGCACTGATGCAAATAAAAATTTCATACATTCGATACTGCAGTGTGAAATCCACTATCAATGGAGACATGTATATCTACAGACAGGACAAGGGGAAACGCAGTTCAAAAGCTACGCTTACTGGAAGGCAAAGAGATTAATATGATGTCAACTTGTCCCCAATAATGCCGACACAGAAAATGACAATAAGTCATCAATTTTATAAGTCAAATATTTCGGTTTAAGAGAATTTAACTACAGGATTTCCTATGCCACACCAGTGGGATTCACATTCGTCACGCAAACTACGTTGCTGGACACTCAGTGCTGGAGCGATTTGCCTTGAGTGTTCGGAGGCTTTCGCCCGGCTCTAGGACCCTGGAGTAATTAGTGCAAGCCATAAAGCTTCAGTAGCAAATTACTCTCACAGAAAGACATTTTCAACTTCTGCTCCCGCTGCTGACAAAACAAATCATGTGTTTAGCTTGACTCCAGACAAGGACAACCTGTTCCTTCATAACTCTCTAGAGAAAAAAAGGAGTTGTTAGTAGGTACTAAAAAAGTGGACGAATGCTCTGGACATGTTTCCTAAAAAGATTCCTTGAAACACATTAGGAAAATGGAGGGCCTTATGATCAGAATGCTAGAATTAGTCCATCGTGTTGAAGCAAGATTTGGGGAGGGGAAGGAATAAAAGGAAAAGAAGAGCGAGAAGCCTATTTCCCGAAAGCAGGTACTGTCACTCAGTATTAGGCCCTGCTCTTTTCGCTCTGACTGAAGGCAAAAAGCCTCTCACAGTCTAGGCAACAGAGTGATACACAGAAAAGAATATGCAACCACAGGTGGATTTTTAACTGTTTCCCTTCACCACGCCCTGTCTCCCCCGACCCTCCCAAGAAGAATTTAAGTCCTGCAGCCATGGCAAAAGTTTCAAACACTTCTCAAATATGTAAGCCAGTTCCAGTAAATCAAAAAAGTATCCTCAAATAAGTTTTATGAAAATAACTTTTAAGTATCAGTCAGCACTTCTGAATAGGCTAAAAAATTAACTTTCGCAGCAATGTAAGTTTAGATGAGAAAGGAATGAGATAGTCTGTATTCCATCTCTTTCTGAACTGAGCAGGAGGCACAACCCGACACTGAAAGTTTTGCCATGGACTGTCTCTACTTTCCAAACGACCGAGCGTTACCTCTCTAGCTTTTTGTGCTGCAAGCTCAGCTTGTCTCTGTCGCTCGAGTTCTTCGAGCAACTGCTTTTCCATGATGCGTTTCGCTTCCTCCACCCTTCGGAGAACTTCGCGCTCAATTTCATCCTTCCTTTTCTCCAGTTCTTCCTCTACCCTTTTGGCCACCAATTCTTCCACTCTGCGTGCTGTTTCCTCCTCGATGAGTTTTTCTTCTATTTCCTGCTGCCGACTAGCAAAGCAGAAAAAAATGACTTAGATAATACTTTTAAAACCTAAGAATTAAATCACCACTCATGTTAAGACCATCAAGTCACTGAACCTCATTTTATCTAGGTAAAATCCTTTTTCTTTCTTTTTTTTTGGTACGAGGGATTGAACTGGGGACCTTGCGCTTGCGAGGCAGGCACCGGAACCACTGAGCTAAATCCCCAGCCCAATCCCTTTTCTTTTTATCACGTTCTAATTACAGGAACACTGATATATACAAAGAGCCTAATTAACTTTCATTCAGGAGCTATAAATATGAAACAAGTCTACTTGTGTCGCTAACTTCACCATGGGAGAACACGCTGTTCAAATGCATGGATTTGCCTCTTTGTCAGTAACTCAGTGTAAGGACCGATCTACAACGTCAGGAGAATCTACACACAGCTGTCAGATTGGCTGAATTCACTTCCCCTTCACCCCTGAAGCAAAGACAGAATAAACACAGATATTCAGAGATTCAGACTGCTGAAGTTAGTCTGTGTATTTTGAACTTATCTTCTACTCTTCCTCCTCTGTCAAGTGATTCCAATTAAAAGCATCTCTACAGGTAGCAAAAGTCGAAAGATGAAAATATATGATCAAAGTCCAGTGAAGCATGATACTGTTTTAATTACTTTAATGCCACTGTGATGCTATAAACCAACTTACTCAAAATTCTGAGCTGAAAACTTATCAAAGACTATCATGGAAGACTTGCACATTTTATACCCGGGACAGCCACCAGTCCCCTGTACCTGAAGACTGCTACAAAGGAAAACGTCAGATCTCAAGTATTTTCAATTGATTATTTTGGATAGATTAAGAATATATTCAAATTAATTCTACTGGCTTTTGATGTGACTACTAGAAAATTTCCAATTGTGTATCTTGCTCACATTTTATTTCTGTTCAACAGCAAACAGATAATTTGTGAATGAATAAATCAGAGGCTCTTTCAGTCTATTTAAATTCCAGGAGAGCAATTTATTAATATAATACTTCAACTTTCAATCCACCAAAATTAAATAAAACTTGCAACTTGTATATATTTTGATGACTCATGTGACATATATTAGATACGAGAGTCATACAATTGATCTGTTTAGTAGATATTCTACTTTCTATGTGACCTTAAACATCTTAATCTCACTCAATTCTACTCTTGGGAGAGATTCAATCCTCACCTAAGAACTTTCATTCTCAAATCCTGACACTTACTTCCAGTGACATCATACTAACACCAATGTATCTTCAACAACGGATTCATTTCAATTCTACACTTATCCTCTACATCTTTCCTACGAAGGAGACAGTAGATACTGAAGGAAGTTTATTGTCCCTTAAGGTCCTAGACAACTGCAATCCCCATTCTGAGGACTCTTGCTTCTTTTCTAAATATTTTCTTCCTAAAACTAAATTTTTAAAAGGTATATGAAAGCCTGAGATTGACTATGCTCATTATGCTTCTTCCAGACAAATTTAGGATTAGGGCGATTACAGTAAACCTTTTATCTATAGCAGAGCTCAAGAAAAGAGCACATACCCTCTACAATGCTAAAAATAAAAGAGTATCTAAAGAAATTAGTGATTTCAATTCAATGGAGAGCGAGTGCCAATTTCAATACAAAAGGTCTGTTTCATCCAAAGGGAAAGAAATAAGGGGATAGCAAGGCTGATAACTGCTCAATCTGGATTTGGGGATAGAAGGATAATATTCTACTTTTGCATATGTAAACTTTTCATATTAGTTTAAAATATGTAAATACCCCTACCCACATACTTTTTCTAGTTCAAATTTCAAACGGTAGCTATTAAAATAAAACAGTGCGCACGTTGGCAGGTCTTGGTACAGAACTGCCACAACTGTTAAGGTGTTCAAAGTGAGAACTCAATCTCAGGGGCTTGCCTCTAGGAATCACTTAGCAATTGTTAGCCGTCAGTATTTACTCAGCCCTCAGTGAGTACTAAACACTGCACCAAGAGATCCGCACAGCACGTCACCATTTACATCTCAGACTCCTCCCACCAGCCGGGCACTGGTGCCTTATTTTTAATGAGGAAGCTGAAGCTAAATTGATTCTGCTCTCAAGCTCAGCGGATGTTTCTGAGCTGGGACTATGAATGCTGCAGACTGCAGAGTACTAACTATACTACCCTCCCTACCTGGCTCTCCAGGCAAATCTGAGAGATAAGGACATGTACAAAATAACCCCCAAGAGGATTAGTTCAAACACAAAACTTAGAAAGTTCTTACCAACAGCCAGATTGCTGTGCTCTGCTGGTTTCAAAACATTCACCCCAATAATATACAGCTCCCCAAAGCAAATCTACTCACAGAATTGCCTCTTGGGCCTTGTCTTAGTTACCTTTCTCTCACTGCTGAGTCAAAATACCCGACACCAAAGTTAAAGGGGGAAAGGTTGATTTAGCTCTGTCTGCCGAGGTTTCAGTCTGTAATCGGCTGGCTCCAGGCCAGGGTGGAGTGGCAGATGGGCATCACAAGGCGAAACAGTACATGGTGGGCAGGAGGCAGCAAAGCATGCAAGAGACCTTCCTACTTTCTTTCTGCCCCTTTTATCCTCTCTCTAGGCTACCAGGATGAGGTCAGTGCCAAACCAATCAGAGGACTGATCTAGTAATCACACACTCTGAATCCCAGCATCACACACTCCAGTGTTAACCACTTCTGAAAAAGCCCCACCTATGACCACATGAGGCTTTAGGGGGACATCTAGACAGCCATACCAGCCTTCAGGATGAGCTTTTATGTTTTGGGTCTAAATTATCTCCCCCAAATCTCACATTCAGAGGTGAGCCTGGTAACCTGGTTGGAAGGGGCAGGTCCCATGAGGCCACTTGGAAGGCTGTGTTTTCTCTGGCTCTTCCCTGCTCTTTGCTTCCTGACAGTTTAACTGCACTGATGAACAGGTTTTCTGTCAGGCTTTCAACCATGCTGTTTCTTCCATGGAGCCTTGACCACAGACTGAACCCACTGAAACTGTGAGCCAAAATAAACTTCTCCTCTTTAAGCTCTGGATGTGGGGTATTTTGTCCCAGCAACAGCAAGGTAGCTTAGCTAATACAGGGCCCTTTTAAGTATCTTCTAAGAATCACTTGTACAGATCCCAGATCAGTTTAGGTACTCTTAATGTGTCATGCAGTTAAACAGTAAGGACAAACAAACCTAGGTATCACAGGCTAGAGTAAGTCACTAGGCAAGCCAAGTTTTTTTGATTTGCTGCAAGTCATTTTAAGCTCCAACACTTAACACAACATGTATACACCATCTCAAAATCACACAAAACGAAGTGGAAATATTGGTACAGAAGAGGGGTAAGAGAGACTCACGCATTGCCAGGATAAGACCGATTCTGAATTTAATTTAGAACCATGTACATTAGCTACTCAAAAAAGTTAAAGGCCTATCTTTTACTAAAGGGGTCCCCAACCCTTGGCCCAGAGACTGGAATGGGTCCTTTCACTGTTACCAACAGGGCTGGACAGCACCGGGTGAGCAGGGACGCTTCCCCCGTATCTACGATCCCTTCCTAGGACCGGCACTGCTGCCGGAGCTGCACCTATCACATCCGCAGTGGGATGAACCCTCCTGCGAACTGTGCTTGTCGGGATCTGGGTCGTAGGCGTCTATGAGATTCTAACCCTGAAACCACTGTTCTCCACAAAACCCATCTCTGGTGCCCAAAAGGTTGGAGACTCTGTTTTAATGCACTAAGATTACAATCCCTAAACTGACTTCGTAAGCCCAACAGGTAAGTTAAATTAAATAACCTTACTGCGGGAGACCAACTAGATGCCAAGTGCTGCTCAGGTATTTCAATATACTATCTCCAACCTTCACAACACAGGCATCACCATCTCACAGACAAGAAAATAAGCTCAGAGGCGATTTAGTTACGGCCTCAGAAATCTAAGCAGTGAAGCAATCTGGTCTCCAATTGTACCAGAGCTACTAACTGGTTAAACCCAACAAATGACTATTCTTTTACTGTTTCTCTCCATCTTCTGTTAGACTTCTTGAAAGCACCGTCAATACTAAAGTGTCTTCTCATGTCTGGTCTGCTTCCACCATGGGCTTCTCATGGCCAGCACACACATTTGTTAAGGTTCTTCCAGTCCCCTAAATCAAGTGCTTCTCTCTTCACGCTCTGCCTGGGCCATTCCATGCACTCTTAGTTTCTCTAGCCTTCAGCCCTCCATTATCAACTCAGACTGGCTCAGCACATCCAAAACCAGGACCCACACAGGAAGTGCCAAGCGGAAGCTCCCTCTACTTCTCCCTCTCCCTTACCCTCCACTCATCAAGGTTCTGAGATTGTAGCCATTAGTAGATACATAGTAGCAGCTGAAACATGGTAGATGAGTAGCAATAGTCACACTCTAAATATGACAGCCAACATTAGTGTATTCTTTCCCTTACATCTTACATCCAATTTCATACGCCCTAAATGTTTCTTAAATGGGTCCTTCTTTTCGATTACTCTTGCCTCGACATATTGTAACCCACTGAATCTCCATACTGTACAAATCAAAGATACGTTTAAAATTTAAAAGGAGGGCATGCAATTTACTTGCTTAAAACCTTCCCTGTTTCTAGGCTGAAATCAAAACTTTTTATGGCATACAAAAACCCTCCAAGATTCCCAGCCTCCACCTCTCCGGGCCCTCCAGGACTTCAGTACTGCACTGTACTTGAGCACTTCATGCTGTGACGACCATCACCTGGTTATCTTGAAACCATTCCCTTTCAAGCTCTTTAATTCTGGAAGGGGTGGGAATGGAGGCTCTGGCCTTTGGTTCACCTATATCCTCCTATCGCAGTAACCGCACAGTCTTATCTTCTTGTATTTTTGATCTGTAGAACAATTGCCTGCCCATCAGGATGCTTCCTTTATGTGAGCAGCTTTATCACTGCCACTGAATTTAGCACACTGTATTATTACTGTTATCTCTGAACTACACCAAGACCTTACAAGGGGCCAAGCATGTTTATGGTTAACAGCACCTAACATAGTGCCTGGTACCGATTAAATGTGCACTAAACATCAGTTGAATAAACAAACTCAACAACAGGGATTTGTACACAAGACACTACTCCCTATTCTCAACACTCCACAGCCCGTGTCTTTCATATTTTCTCTGCAGTATTTCCAAAGTCTTGGACCACATTCGGTAGTGTACACATGGTACAAAGGAATTTAGTGTTCAGGTGGCTATTTCCCTTGCCCTTTCTCCTCCCAAATGCTGCCAGCTTAACCCAGAACCACGTAACTGCTCTTTCCCAGTGCTTCATTCCTACATCTTTACTGTCCATGTGTAGCTTGCTAAATGCTTCTAATTCTTTGCATATCAAGTTTCTTTTCACTTTTCCTATTCCTCTTAGCTTTCTGGGTGAAACCAACTACTGTAATTAGTCTCTGCAGGTCTCCTTTTTTTCATGTGAAAAAATTATCTCGATGTCTTAGGTAATTTTTCACAGTCCTATTGAAAAGACAGCTTTATTGGTCTTTTCCAGACCCCCTCCCAAAAATACCAAGGTTTGTGGAAAAAGTTACTTCACCTTTGTTTTCACGTTTCACTGACCACAATACCAAGTACCACATTCCAAGTCAGAGCTGCACATGTTTTAAAGAAGCGCTGACAGCAAAACAGCTCTAGTTTCCTTGGTAATATTAGTTACGCTTGGAAAAAAGGTGTGCTGAAAAGTCTACAGTACAAACCCAACTGCAGAAAAATATATCCCCCAGGCATTTCTGTACATATAAATTCCTTTTAGAAAAAGCGTAAGTTTCCTAATATTCCTTCCTTATAATCACTTTCGAAATACTCACTGAAGAACTGTACGAAGATGGCTGGTTAATCAGGGAGTTAAGCTAGCACATTAGCTCCTCTAGCCCAGTATAACTGAATACCCTGAGCACCGAAGTGCCCAGTAAAAACAACAAAACTACATTTAAAAACCAAAAGTCCATTTAGTTTGCGTTATGCGCATCTACTCTTAAATCTAAGTACACCTGAGAGGCCGGCCACTCTCAAAATCACGTGACTTTCGGCAAACAAAATTTCCAATAAGGACCCTTCATTGTTCCTACAGAAAAATTCAGCATGTAAACAAGACAAATGTGAAAACGAATATTCAAGCGTCTTTAAACAAATACACTACAGGAAGAAGCAAAAAGACTGCACCGGCCTACTAAAAACATACAAAGCACCAGCATAATAAGAAATACGCTGTTTGGGATGATGGGCACACAGGTGAATTCACAGGTCAAACTGATCGCGCTGCACACTCCCAGTGTGTTCAGATTTTTATCTCTCAATAAAGAGGGAGCGATACAGGCCGGAGAAAGAAAAGCAAACAGCACGCCTTTGAGAGGAACACGCCGTGGCAAACTGTGCGGGGTGGACCACCCCGGGAGCCTTTCCCTCCCTGCCCCTCGCTCCACGCCGCCTCTCCTGCTGGCTCCTCCCCCGCCTTCCCGGCCCCGGTGGCTCTCGGACCGCACAGAGAACTCCACCCCTACTTCCGGGACTCGGCTCGCTCTCGCGCCAAAATCGCTTTCTGGCCTGGAGACTTTCCTGCTCGGGCTCCGCGTGGCCCGTCCGCCCCGGGCGGGCTCGGGCTCGGGCTGGGGCTCCCGCTCCCGCTCCAGTCCCCGCCGCCTCCGGCCCCGGCCCCGCCGCTCACATCTTTCGCTGCCGCTCGAACTCGGCCTTCTTCTCCTCCTCCTCGCGCTTCTGCTTCTCGTCCAGGCTGCTGCGCTTGCTCACCGTGCGCCCGAAGATGTCGATGCGATCGGGCGGGGACGAGGCGCGCTCCCGCTCCCGCTCCCGCCGGGACGCCGCCGCGTTGGTGGAGCGCGAGCGCGAACGAGACTCACGCCGCCGGTTGCGCTTGCTCTCCCGGGACTTGGAGCGCTTCCGCACGCGCTCCTTGTCCCGCGAGCGCGAGCGGGAGCGGCTGCGCTTCTTGTTGTGCTTGCTGCTCTTGGCGTGCTTGGAGCGCGACGAGCTGCGGCTCCGCGAGCGGCCCATCCTGGCGCGGCGCGCCGACCACCGCCGGCCTCCGGCCCCTCGCGCGCACCCCTCGCCGCTCCTCCGGACGCGAGCTGGCTGACCTGCGGAGGTCGGGGAGGGCGCGCTGCCCCCCGGATGGCCGTCTGTGTCCCTCCGCGGGTCCGCACCGCCACGCAGGCCACCTCCGACGGGAAGGCCGCAACGCAAGGAGTCGCTAAGATGGCAGCTGCGGCTGCACCGGCCGCCCTTCCCACAATGCCCTGCGCGGAACGTGCCGACGCAAAGGGTCCGCCCTCTGGTGGAGGTGGCCGGAGATTGGCGGCCGTATCCGAACGCGCTCGGCTCTTTCCGTGTTTCCTGGCGGAGGCCCGAAGCTGGGCTGGAGTCTATCCCTTTGCCCGGACTGGACTTCAGTGTTGTGGTACGAGAATTTATCACCCTGTAGTGTGATTTAAGTCACACCTTGGCAGGAGTTACTTGGTGGCGTTATTTTCTAGGAGCTGCCTGGCTCAGCCATGCCTAACTGCCCCAGTTGCCCCGGGCAGATCCCCTTGCTTAGGAGCTCTCCGAAGTGACCGGAGGATCCCGAGGTGGAGCATGCGGGAGTCGGGTTCGCCGTTCACGCCTGCTGCGGGGCTCGCTGCGCCTTGCAGAGCGGCCGCCTGCAGCTTGCAGCGCACCTGGGCCCGACTACCTGATCCCGCCTCAGAGAGGGGCCCAGGCCTGGACCAGGGGCCCGAGCGCTGCCCGCCTTGGGAGAGCGTCGGGAGGACGCTGCTAAATCCCCTTGCCTTCTGCCGCTCTGAGCTGTTGCACCTATGTACTGAAACCTCTGAACTGTGAGCTAAATAAACCTCCCCTTTACTTTGGGTGTTGGGTATTTCGTCTCAGCAATGAGAGAGAAATAACTAACACACCACTGATCTTTTCAGATGATAGGGCCCAGCATTTGAGAGGCTGAGGCAGGAGGATCACTAGGAATTTGAGGCCAGCCTCAACTATACAGAGATGCTGTCACACACACACACAAAGATGGTAGAAAATAGTGAGAGTCTGGGTACCTCCCTGTTAGAACTTAGTTCCTTAAAAGGCTTTGCTCAAAGTTGATGAGAGAGAAAAGCCAGACAGCCGGGCATGGTGGCACACTCCTGTAATCAGGAGGCTGAGGCAGGAGGATCACTGAGTTCAAGGCCAGCCTAACCTGCATAGTAAGACCTTGTCTCAAAAAAAAAACGAAAAAAGAAAAACCAGAAACTCCCCTTTGAGCAAGCAGAAACCTATTAAATGAAATAATAAAGTTTTCTACACAGTGGCAACAAAAGCCATAAAATACGTCAGAATAAACCTCATCAAGTTACAAAATCTTTATGATGAAGCGTGGCTGAACTGCAGAATAAGGCCAAGTGAATGGAAAACAGAAGTTACTTTCTCAGGTGAGTAGTCGACATCAGAATTATGCCCGTTCTTCCCAAGTCCGATTAAAAACTTAATGCAATTCCTTTGAGAGTCCCAAGTTCTTTTGGGGATGTGTATGTTAGAACTCACTAACTAACTTGAGGTTTTATGGAGAAGATCTCATAATTGTGAATTACGTTTTTGAAAAAGCATGAGAAAGAAGATTAATGTCTTGGTCCATTCGAACTTAGTTTGGATCTCCAGTATTCCCCGAAGCTTGTGTGTAGAAGCCAGCAGCGTTCAGAAATGGCCTTTGGCTGTTGGCTGGCTCCTGAGGTCCCTGACCTTTGGAATGGATGAATCCACTATGGATTTAGCTTAGTGGACTACTGGGCAGTGAGGCAGATACTGGGAAGTAGGCCTAGCTGGGGGAAACGGGTCATCAGTGTGTGTCTTTGAAGGGTGTATTTAGGCCCGGTCCCTTTCTCCTTTGTGCCCCATGCCCTTCCCCTCCCTCTCCTGGTTGCCATAAGGTAAGCGGCTTTGCTGTGCCATTCTCTCCCCACCAGGTTACTCGACCCCAACACAGGCACAGAAACATGAAGCCACGTGACCTCGGGTTGAAACCTCTGAAACCATGGGCCGAAATAATCCTCTGATCCTTTCAAGTTCTTCATCTTGGGTGTTTTGTCACAGTGATGTAAGCTGACAAACACTGGCTGCTGTAAAATATTACCAAAAACTGGGTAGCTTATAAGGCAGAACTATGTTTCTGGAGGCTGGGAGGTCTAAGATTAAGTCACTCTCAGATTTGTGTGTGTTAGGGTCTCATTGGTGCAGCCTCGGAAGGGAGCAAACACTGTGTGTCCACATAGTGGATGAGATGGAGAACAAAAGGGAAAACAGTCGGACTCGCTTTTTAATACCTTCCGTAAGAACGCTACTTCTACTGATAAGCACATAGGTATGAGAGTTATGGCATATATCTAGATGTCTCCTCAGAGCCTCATGCACTCAGAGCTGGAGCTTCTGGGAGGTGGCTGGATGGTGGGGGTATGATGTAGCATTATGGGTGTGATAACTGGATTATCCACAGATTGGATTGGTGTGGAATGGGTTCGCCAAAGATGGAAGCCCCGCCCTGGGTAGGGGTGGCACCAACCAGTGGGCTTGTAGCCTGAGTGGAATATAAAGGGAGAGAGGGAAAACAGGCTCATGCCTCCTGCCCTCCCTGCCTCAGACTGTTTCTTCTCCGCAGTGCCTCTCTGCCATGACACCCTGAGTTGGAACCTACTATGGCTATGGACTGAAACTTGTACAAACTGAGCTGAAATAAACCTTTCCTCCTTCGACTTGTGGGTGTCCAGTACTCTGTCCCAGTAACATAAAAGTAATGGAGGCAAAGAGCTCTTATAACTTGTTTCCGTAAACACGCCCCATCTCGATATTCTCACGTGGCCTGTTAAGCTCTAACACAGGAACTTTGGAGGAACGCACACATTGGAGCCACAGCAGTGTCCCAGTGAACAAGGCCCCTGGGCGATTGCGCACCCTTTCCACCATGTAAGGACAGAGCCACGCTGCTCCATCTGTGAGGCAGAGAGCGGGTGTGTCCCCCGGCACTGGCTCTGCTGGTGCTTTCATCGTGGACTCATCACCTCCAGAACTGGGAGCAGTGCGTTTCTCTTGTATACAAGTTACCCTGTCCAAGGTATTTTGGTAAAGCAGCCTACAAGGACGACAACAGGTCCTAATCTCCAGGGCTGTAGTCATGTCCCTACCGCCTAATGACTTTGCTTTGGTGATTAGGTTTCAACATAGGACTTTGGAAGGGGATGCAAGCACTCAGATCATAGCACATGATAAGGGTGTGCCCTGTGATGAATTAAACAAGACAATAGTAGAGACATAGAAAAATAGTGGGATAGAAGGATAGATTATCTTGATTCTTTGAAATAGGCAAGTAATCATGTAAACTGTAGAAATAACCTCATTATAATGGAAATAGTAGGGTCTGTATATCCAATGTACCATCTGTGTATATACATATTAATCAATATATACCTGCAATTATGTATGTAGATACACATTTAGGATATACAAATGTGTCTTCATGAATTGTGATAAAAATACAGTGAATGCTATTGGCACTGTAGACCTCTAGATATAAAAAGCTTGGTTTTCTTTAAAAATAAAAATCCTTGGTTCTATTTAAAATGTGCAGTTCTCTACAAGGAATACAACTTTTTCCCCTCAGACAAATAAATTTTCATCTAATTCCTCCTGAAATACTGTTAGGAGGCCCTATGCAACACAAGGCTGGTTGATTATAAAGTGTGTGCCTGTATATAAATATAAATAAACCGATGCCTCTCTAGGAAATGGTTCTTTCTTACACCAGAAAGAATGGCAGGCCAGGATTTAGCTCAGTGGTGTTGCCCCTGCTTTGAAGGTGCAAGGTCTCAAGTTTAATCCCCGGTATCAGAAAGGAAAAAAAAAAAGAAGAATGGTGATCATCAAATCAAATAACAAACACTAGCATGGCTGCAGTGAAAAAGGAACCCTTGTACATTGTTGGTGGGAATGTGAACTATTACAACCATTATGGAAATCAGTATAGCGATTCTTCAAAGAACTACAATTAGAAGTTCCATCTGACTCATCTATTCCTTTTCTAGGTATCTTCCCAAAAGAGCTAAAGTTATATTTCAGTGATACATGCCAATGTGTACGGCAGCACAATTGACAATAGCTAAATCCTGGAAGCAGCTTATATACCCATCAGCAAACAAACAGATAAAGAAAATGTGGTACCTATACATAATGGAATACCACTTGCTATAAAAAAAGGATAAATTTGAGACATTTTTAGGAAAATGGCTGCACCTGGAAAGTATAATGTTAAGTGAAGTAAATCAGACATGCAAGCTTAAATACTGTATGGTGTCCTTCATTTGAGAGAAGGAAAGGACAAGTAAAGAGCAAAGTGAAGAGCTAATAGACGGAGCAGGGTGATAGACCTTTTACACATGGGAAAGGGTCCAGAAGACAGGGGGAGGGAAGGGAGGAAAAAGGTTTAGGATGTGAGGAATGTGAGCGTTATATGTCATAAACGAGCTAAAAATAAGAATGATGGAAATGGAGAAGGGGCATTTAGAGTCGGAGAGAGGGAGGGAGGGGAATAGAAAGAATCGAGGTGTGCTGTGTGCATGTTCCTGCTCCGAAAGATTAACGAACATTTCACGTAGTATAAACGCACTAGCAAAATACAATTTTTATTTTAAATACCAAAGGCACCCTACACTCAGGAGGCAGGAAACCCATCCTGTGCCCAGGAAAAGCACATACAGACCCTGCAGCACCCAAGGCGAGATCAGTGTCCTTCGTTCATGCGCCTGCGGGGACAGAGGCCAGACGTGCTCCGGCCGGGTAGGCACTGACCAGGGCTGATCCGAGAGGTGCGCGAGGCGCTGCGCAGGTTCTGACCCAGCCGTCCAGAGCAGGGGCGGAGCTGCGGTGCCTGCTGAGTCGGAAGTCAACTTGGGCTTGCTGAGGAGCTTTGTTTGAAGCGGATCGCTGTAGGGCTATTTGGGGTAGTGAGGAGTGGGGAAGCTCTGACTAGGAACTCTCAGGCCTCCCGAGAGTCAGGCAAACAGCTCTTCTTTTGAATTTCTCGTTAACTTTCGTTGG